AGTATATTTATTATTATTACCCCGTATCATAAATAAATCATGCATAGAGTCATAATATTAACATAGGTTGTTCAATAAGTCTTAAATAAATTATATACGATAAGACTGGTAGGGTTATAATTTTGTTTTGCAAGTGAAATTTTGTAACCAAATTGATCTTTTTATCTTTTAAGAGATTCTACACAATAAAAAACTACATAATTTTTGAAATTATTAATACATACTATTAAAACAATTTTTTTAATAATTTGGCATTTTATATATCTTGGCTGTTCTAGTTTTATTGATTGATCGATCAACCAAAATCACATGATTGTGATGCAGTAAAGATGATTTATTCAAATTCCTCTTCTATAGTATCAATTTTATCTCAACTTGATTTAAAAATTCTTAATGCCAAATAAGTTCTTACCTGCTGTATTTTATACTACTGAAAAGATTATAAATTTTTCTTGCTCTTTCTATTCTTTTCTTAACTGCATTTTTTGAAAGGTTAGATGGAAACTGTTTTTTAACTTCTTTATAAAGTTTTCTCTGAGATCTATGCTCTTTATTAGCTTCATAAACTCAGCTAACCTTTCCTTAAACTTTTTTTTAAAAGCAAAATAGCATATAATAATTTCTTGATTCACACTTTCAATTCATTCTTCAGCCTTAACAATTGCACTATATAAATCAAAAAAATTACTTGGGCTGGTGATAGATTCAGCCTGAGAAGTAGTACTACTTGTTGAAGAGCTTGGCAATTTCAGCCCCTCAATAAGTTTTTTTAATATAGATACATTTCCGTTTTTAGTCTTTACTTTCTTACTAGATAATTTATTTTCAGAATTATCTTTACTAGGTCTTTTACAGGATTCTTTTTCTAAAAAAATAATGCTTTGGTCTATTGAATGATTACCTTCACTATCTTTATTATCATCTACATCTGACATTTCTTCTTCTATAATTTCTGGCAAATCTTGAGATTAGATATTATATTTTTCCATCCTTCTAACTACTGATGATATACTTGCTATTGTTTATATAGAAATTTTACATAGTTAGCCGATTATTTTTTAATGATATTTTACTATTAGCTGAGCTAATTTGGATGATCTAACCACTATTAGATGTGTCTCAACGAGCTCTACAATTTTAACTTAATAACAATTTGGTCTGGATTCAAAAATAATAATTACCTCATTGTTGTTTGAAAGGCAGACTGTTATATCACTCACCATTTTACGCAATATCATCTTTTTTATACTGTAATAAAATTTTGAAGACTGTGCTCCATATATATTAAATTATTGTTACGGCTGATGCTGAAAATTGATTAATTATGATATTAAATTTTGAAAAATTTTTGGGGGGTGTTTTTTATTGCTTTTTTTTTAGGGTTAGATTAGGATTTAGGGTTAGAATTTATAATTAACGAATTTTAGCAGGCTTATATTTTAAAATCGAGAACCCCA